AAGTGACCTATGAGCAGCTTCTTGAGGCCTTGGAAGCGAGATATGGCGACGCTCATCTGGAACACGTCTTTCGCGCGCAGCTTAAAGATCGCGTGCAGCGCAGCAACGAAAACCTGCAGCAGTGGGCCCTTGAGGTGGAGAAGATGGTTCGAAAAGCATACCAGTCTGTACCTGCGCTCATTGAAGGGAACCTGGTTCAGACATTCATCGACGGCATCCGCGACATTGAAGTCAGAACTGCTGTGAGACTCGGGCACCACGACACGCTTAAGAACGCCTTGGTCCATGCACTGGAGGTGGAAGCCGTGCGGCAGGATCATCGTTCCCATCGCATCAGGGAGGTTGCAGCAGCTACAGTTCGCGACCGCAACAGAGGATACAGCCCTAGGTGCTATGGCTGTGGGGAAAAGGGCCATCTTCGATCCAGCTGCCCTAAGCGAACCCTAGAAAGGGAAGGTGTACGATCTCAGGAGGGTAGTGCGGCCAACAGCACCGCCCTGCAGCAGCAGGGAAACGAGTAAAAGCCAGAACTGCGGGGCGGGTGCTGGCTGATGTTAAAAGAGCCCCAAGGATCTCGATCTCACAAACCCATGATGGGAACAGTCTAATCATCAAGGGCGAGGTCAACGGAATGCCGTGTAAACTGACCATAGACACTGGAGCCTCTCGTACGGTTGTTAGTTCCCAACTTATAAGCCAGTTCCTTGGGGACTCCGCATACAACCGAGAACGCATTAATTTGGTAACAGCCACCGGTCAGCGTATACCCGTCCGTGGAGAGAAGGAGATGGAGTTGAAGCTAGGCAACGTGATCTACCTGCATAATGTCATCGTGGCTGATATAATGGACGACTGCATCCTAGGCCTAGACTTTATGAGGAATAATTGTTGTGAGATCGACGTTAAGCAAGGTGTTTTGAAATGTGGACAGGAGGAACTTTGTATGGAAGGTGCGTTACCAGGGAACGTGTACAGCATCAAGAAGATTGTTCTTCCGCCGAGATCGGAAACGATTGTTCCGGTTAGTCTTCCACGAAACGCTGGGCAAGCTCACCGTTGTGTACTTGTGGAAAGGGTAAACAATGACCTTCCATGGAAAGTAGCTCGAACCTTGGTCAGGACCACTGACATCTCAGGAGTACGTGTGCTGAACCTTTGCGACCGGGAACAGGTTATAGAAAAAGGTACACTGGTTGGTACTTGTGAGGAAGTGGATTGGTTACGTCAGTGCCAATATATATCGAGTGGGACCCCCAGCAAGGATTCAGAAACGAGAGTGACCACACTTTTGGAAGACTGTCGCAGTGTTCTGTCCCCGAACGAATTGGTGAAGGCGAAGAAGTTGTTACTCGAGGACGCCGATGTATTCTCATCAAACGATGCTGACATAGGAAAGACTGGTTTAGTTCAACACAAAATAAACACAGGTGAAGAGTTGCCTATCCGTCAGCGGCCAAGACGATTGCCGGTAGCACGTGAAAAGGAAGTGGAAACCATGATTAAGGGAATGGTGAGGGATGGTGTTATTGAACCTTCATCTAATCCATGGTGTTCACCCGTGGTACTGGTAAAGAAGAAGGATGGCAGCATGCGCTTCTGTGTTGATTACCGCCGTCTGAATGACGTTACAAAGAAGGACAGCTATCCCTTGCCAAGAATTGATGACACGCTGGACATGCTTACAGGAGTAAAATGGTTTAGCACGCTGGATCTAAAAAGTGGCTACTATCAAGTTGAAATTGACCCTAAGGACAAGGAGAAAACTGCGTTCTCGACGGGAAAGGGTCTGTGGCAATTCAAAGTAATGCCGTTTGGGTTGTGCAATGCTCCAGCAACGTTTGAAAGGCTGATGGAACTTGTACTTACCGGGCTAATTGGCGATGCCTGTCTGGTCTACTTGGATGACATCATCATCGTGGGCCGTACGTTTGAGGAACACCTTCAAAACCTGGAACGCGTGCTCATGAAGATTAAGAGTGCCAACCTTAAGTTGAGTCCGAAGAAATGTTCACTATTCAAACGGCAAGTCAACTTTTTGGGGTATGTAGTGTCGGAAGAAGGTATCCGCACGGATCCAGAGAAAATCGCAGCTGTAAAGGATTGGCCGGTTCCAAAAGACAAGACGCAGGTTAGAGCATTTTTGGGTTTGTGCTCCTATTACCGACGTTTTGTGAAGAACTTTGCAGATATAGCCAAACCTCTGCATAAGCTAACCGAGGAGAAGCGACATTTCTGCTGGGATGAAAGTTGTAACATCGCATTCCAGGAGCTCAAGGACCGTCTGTGCAAAACACCTATTTTGGGATACCCTGATGCAAGCAAAGAATTTATAGTTGACACAGACGCAAGTGATATAGGACTTGGCGGTGTGTTGTCTCAACGTAATGGTGACCAAGAGGTCGTGATAGCGTACTTCAGCAAGTCGTTGTCAAAACCGGAAAGGAACTACTGTGTCACAAGACGCGAATTGCTAGCTGTGGTAAAGTCGTTGCAACATTTTAGCAAATATCTTCTGGGACGAAAATTTCACTTACGAACTGACCATGCTGCACTAAAATGGCTATTGCAGTTTAAAAACCCAGAAGGACAAGTTGCGAGGTGGATTGAACTACTGCAGGAATACGACTTTGAGATCGAACATCGCAGCGGGAAATCTCATGGCAACGCAGATGCATTGTCAAGAAGACCTTGTCCTGAAGATTGCAAACATTGTACTAGGCAAGAGAGTAAGGAAGTGGTATCCGTGAGGATGCTCAGGGCAGACCACCTCAGCAACGAGTGGAAGGACAGCTTACTACATGCACAGCAGGAAGATCCGGACATCAAGCCGATTCTGGAATGGATAAAGGCCAGTGCTCCCAAGCCCAAGTGGAGTGACGTCTCAGCGATGAGTTCGACCACTAAAAGCTATTGGGCCCAGTGGGACAGCTTGCTGCTTCAGGATGGAGTTCTGTGTCGTAAATGGGAAAACGTTCGGGGAGACAGCTGTCATTTGCAAATGGTTGTCCCTAAAGTAAAAGTACCGGATGTTCTACAGCTGTACCATAATAATTGTTCAGGAGGCCATCTGGGAGTTAAACGAACTCTACTGAAGATCCGAGAACGGTTTTACTGGGTCCACTGTCGAAACGATGTCGAGGACTGGTGTCGCAAATGTACAAGTTGTGCGGCTGTAAAGGGACCTCAGACTCGTAGTAGAGGTGCATTGAAGTTGTACAATGTTGGTGCACCATGGGAGAGAATAGCCATTGACGTGGCAGGGCCGTTTCCGGAGAGTGAAAGCGGTAACAAGTATTTCATGGTTGTGATGGATTACTTCACTAAGTGGCCAGAAGTCTTCGCCATTCCAAATCAAGAAGCTTCAACAGTTGCAGATAAACTAGTTCATGAAGTCTTCTGTCGTTTTGGAGTACCTTTAGAGATTCACAGCGATCAAGGAAGGAATTTTGAGTCTCAAATATTCCAGGAAACTTGCCGAGTTATGGGTACTCATAAAACAAGAACGACTTCTTATCACCCGCAATCTGATGGAATGGTGGAACGATTTAATCAGACATTGGAGAGGTACCTAGCAAAAGTTGTAGACAATCGGCAACGAGATTGGGACAAGCACATACAACCGTTTTTGTTGTCATATCGAAGTTCTGTTCACGAAAGTACAGCAGTGACACCAGCTTTCGCAAACTTTGGAAGAGAATTACGGCTGCCTGCAGACCTGATCACCGGGATACCACCCGATGCTCCACGCAGTATAACCGATTATGCAAATGACTTGCGGAAAAAAATGAATGACGTTTATGAGCACGTCAGACAATCGGGCCAACAAATGTCTGAAAAAATGAAAACCCGGTATGACCGCAAAATGAACAACAAAGGGTTCGACGAAGGTTCACTTGTGTGGTTGCACAATCCAGTCCGCAGCAAAGGGAAATCTCCTAAGCTTCAAGCTAAATGGGACGGCCCGTACCGGATTGTAACCAGGATCAACGATGTGACCTACCGGATACAGAAAGGCGCAAGAGGGACTCCTAAGATCGTCCATGTGGATCGCTTGGCGCGTTATTATGGGACCGATAATGCTCGGGACGAGCATGTCTTAGGAGGGGGCAGTGTTGCATGAATAAGTCAACTAGCGCCATCTAGTGTCAGGAACTAGAGCGAGGGGAGCATTGAGAAAATGACATCACAAATCGCTCAACTGACAGCGCCTAGTCGAAACTCGAACGCTCGATACCTTCCGCGTGTTTACTTGAACATTCTGGATATTTCTTTGCTAATGTAAATATAAAGGCGCTGCAAGATGCGATGGAGGCAGTGTTGATTTGGGCGAAACAAGCGAAGCTTCGGAGTGGAATTAAGTGAATTAGTGTGTTTAAATTATTAGTGTTTTAACTTTAATTGTGTAAAGTAAATTAAAGTGTTAATTTAGGTAATTTTATCGGCAATTTTTATTGTCACGAACCTCAAGCTCGTAACAATATGAATCCCTTAAACATTTTTAATTCGTAATTTTGATATAATATTTTTGATATAAGTAGTTGTAGTATTTTTCGTTACTATTTTTAAATTATCAATACGATCGCCTCAACAATTGGATTATAATTTTTATTGAAACTATAAGCTCTTCGGCGGGGACGACCAAATTAAATCGAAAGATACGACCAACAATCGATTTTCCAAATAAATTTTATTAAAATTAAATTAATCTCTTTGATGTAACAGTGATCGAGATTAAGGGTAAGTTGGGACACATATCCTTAATCTCAATCATTGTTCCTGAATGTTTCAAATGACCAGGTGATCCTTCGGTTTACCTATATACTGCTAAGTGTAAAATACAAAATAATTAATAAGCTTATGATGTCGTTCAACATGCTGAATGTAAGTCATTAGCGCAATATGGCAGAGAGGTAATGAAAATTACATACATAATTAATTATTAGTGTATTATAATAAACAACAAATAAATTAAATCGCGTTAACATAGTAGTCAGTTCCGTTTAATGTTTGTAATAGAGGTTGGGAGCGGGAGCGGCATAGACGGGAGTCTTGATGACAGCTGGAGCACCGGTGGGGGCAGAGTTGTGCACCACCGCGTTGAAGCCATTGTGATCATCGGCGGAGTATTCCACAGTCCTGATGGATCCGTCGGCCTCGTGGAACGAGTACGATCCCTTCACTACATCACCGTCTCGGGACTCTTGTTGGGACTTGTTGTCACCGGTGTGACCGTCAGCGACAGAGTATGAGAAATCATATTTTGGGTAGGCCTGCACAGAAAAAAAATTGTTTTTGTTATAAAAATGTATGATGATACATTTCTTGTGTTCCAGAGCTTGAAAGTCAAACTGTTATATCAACCTGCTTCCTATTTCTGCCTCCAAGCTAGGAGTGTATTCATTTCTGTGTTCCAGATCGAAGGGCTAAAAGGTCAGTCGTCAAGATTGTTTTGCGGCATTTTTTGTTTAAATTCGCTTGTCATTTAATATCTATAACGTGTATCAGCAAAAATATCATCACGTGGACTGCTTGCTCGTTTAACATTTTATTTATTTGTTAAAATTTTTATTATACCAACCATAATAGTTACAAAGGTGAGGGCTGGGACTTAATGCCAGTTAGTGTTCTTTGTCAGTCAACCCACGGCTTGGTGTAAAATTAGTGGCAGGTGACTTAAATAACTAAGTATTCGCAGTATAAATGGATACTACACAATAAGTCTAATTTATTACAGAAATACATAATTATTATTCTTATTTTTTATATGTATATTATATATATGTGTGTGTGTGTGTGTGTGTGTGTATGTATAAATAATATATCTGAATAAAGCTAGCAATTAGTAATAATTGACGTTTTAGAGTCTACGTTGTTTTTATAAAGAATTTGAAGCTCCAGGGTAGCGTAGCCTGACCGGTAAAATATGGACGATAAATCCGGTTAAATGGAGAGGAGTTTTAGTATTATAAGAAAATTTAAACTTACAATTTCCTCTTCACGGTGGGTAAGAACTTTAGCAACAGGCGCAGCGTATTGGACAGGGCTGGTGTGGTACGCAACAGGGGCGGGCGCAGCATGGTATGTGACGGCAGATGGGGTGGAATGGTAAGTTGCGCGCGCTGGTGCGGCGTGGTAAGTTACGGCAGCTGGGGCAGCGTTATAATAAGTGGCAGGGGCAGCGTTGTAATAAGAGGCGGGGGCAGCGTTGTAGTAAGAGGATGGAGCGGCGACTGCCAATTTGGCCACAGGTGCGGTGGCTACCAATTTCGTGGCAACTGTGTGTGGTTGGTCATGGCGCACAATACTTTGAGAGGAGACAGCTTCAGCAGGGGAGTAGTGCACAGCTGCAGGCAGAAGTCCAGCATTGGAGACTGCAGCTACTGCACACAAAATGGCCACCTAAAAACAAAAGATTTATAAAGCAACAAAGAAAAAAAACGGATAAAAAATAAATAAAAAATCTTATTAAACTTACACTGCGAAACATTTTTGGATTAGAAAGTTCTCTTATGAGCCGACAAATTATGAATGGTGACTTTATAATCGAATATCCTCTTTTATACTACTCAAATACACTTACAAGCACAGCTTACTAGTAACAAGAGTGGTAGTGGAAGTTGTCAAACGTGCTTGTATTAGTCGTAGGTCATGTTAGTTCATAAATCAAATCAATCGCAAGAATGTCTAGGGGGTGTTTATGACCAAATAGGATACACGGGTTGACGTCAAATTCAAAATGTTGTGTTAGGAATACAGTTTAAACAAATTTTTTTTTAAACTAAAAAATGGAGGAAAATAAAAATTGAGTTTTATTTTCCTCCATTTTTCACACTCATAAAATTCTTAATAAAAGCAACATCAACAAATAATTAAGACGATTGTAAATCGCTTATTTTTTTACTTGTAATCAGTAAATACACTGGAATTAGGTAACAAATGCAGTAAATATTTTTAAGCCCGCACTGGACAGGTTAAACATCTTTATAATATCGCACAGTCGCGGTCACGAATATTGGAAACTCTAATCGCGTGGTCATCATTAAATGAATTATTATTTACCAAAGGATTGATGGTGAGGAAAAATATCGCAGGAGAACTGGAATAACTGAAAAATTTAAAAATGTTTCTAAAAAATGCAAAATTCACTAAATTACATTGAGGCCGCGCAGTATACTATTTTTTTTTTGTTCAAAGTACCTTTCAGAAATTAAAGGAGGTCGGTGTTCAACAGTGGTAGTATGTAAACTGTCATTTTAATTTTAAGATTAATATATCAGATTCAGCAAAACGGGATATTTATATAATCACTGTGTACGCAGCATCCCCCAGTACGCAGAGTGTAGGGTTGTTTTCGCTATTTAAGGAGATGACCTGGTAAGAATGAAAAAAATCAAACGATGCATTTAAAACCTTACAACCGTGTCGTGTTGCTTATATTCGGCATTGGTTTTATAATAAGGTGTAATGACGTTTGATGATAAATGAAATATAAATCTATATCTAATGATTAGACTAAATGGAAATATTTATGTGATTTTATAAGAGCTATATTCAAGTATACTCAGGAACTCCGAATGTAAACTTGAGGATTTGACAACGTCGTAAAAATTTTCACGCCTGTGGAAAGCACATTATTTTCAGTTTTACACACCAGGCACGTAAAATTAATGTTTTCTTATTCAATAGTTAGAAGGCAAGTAATTGTGCCATATTTATACGTTTATGTATAATTCCTTAAAACATTAAAATAAGTAAACGTAAATTGATTTATAAAGACAATGCAAGAAATAACTAGAATTGAGTTTTATTTGATTTGGGTTTTAAATGTGTTGAATATATTTTACAATTTAATTTTATAATATAAAAGGATATTTTTCTATTATAAAACGTGAAAATCAAGACGAATGCTATACCCATACAGCCTATTAAAGTCCACCGCTGGACGTACGCCTCCCCCACACGTTGCCTCGTAGGAGGAATATTTGCCACAGTTGCCACGCTTGGTAAGTGGGTTGGCAGCCACAGTTTTTTTATTTTAGTTGTTATTAGAAAGACGCCGCTGTCCATCTTCTGATTTGTTTCCCTCTGTCAAATCTTACGATTCGCACGGGATGATATGGGGTAGTGGATATTCTTACACCGCCACTACACGGTTAATACAGATGAATGTTATGCTTTGATCTTTTGTTATGTTATTTAACATAATATTTAGATGTTATGAAAGTTGAACAAAAAGTAAACAAAAAATATTTTTCTGTGAATCATGCCATTCGGAACATTATAGAAAAAGACTGTATACAGAAATGGACTAAAATGACTGTTAAAGAAATAAGTTTCAAGTCATAAAAACTGTAGTAATACAAGTTTCAGTACAGATCATTACACTATATAATATATATTTTATCTTACAACTAATTGTAACGTTGTGTGTAACTTTATGAATCAATAGAGTCAGCCTTTAAACTACTAATATTAATTCATGCAGAAAGTCGTAGCATTTTGAAAGCTATTAAGTGTTTCAGGAAGATGTGCTTGTGATTCAGCCCGGCCGGGTGCTCCAAATTGGTCATGTAGAAGGCACACTAATTTAAATTGATTTAATTCTAGCTGAGTTCCTACACAAGGTTTACTAACATTTAATTTTGCCTAATTATAAATAAAGTATTTTATAATTTTATTTTGGTAAGATGAAATCTGAATTTTGATAAGTTGCACAGTTGATAGTTTCAATAACCACAAATATTATTTTAAGCTAGAAGGATTTTTATTGGAACATGTAACTTATTATTAATTTCTAAATGATTATTTATTTATAAATAGATTATTTTGCAAGCTGGAACATCTTACAAATTTCTATAACATTTTAAATTAATTTTCTATACGACGTTTTGCATCACTCTATGAAACTAAGCAGGTCTTGAGCACTTAAACTTGAGCAGGATGCTGCTAAACTTTTTATCCTGAACAAATGAAGAAATATTGTTTAAAGGAAGTAATTCTCCAGAATAAGGTCGTCGAAAATTTTATTATATTTCAAACAATGTTAGGAAGTAATCCAGAATAATGAAAGATTTTCGTTTAGTATGGTGGCATAGTAACATAATTTAGGGACTAAAAAATAATTTTGTGAAGATAGATATAATTTTAAGAACCTTTATATATTTTTTATAGTATAAGAGTGATAAACGAGCACACAGTCCACCTGATGTTAAGTGGATGCTGTGGCCCACAGACATCTACATTTATCTTCAGTTAAGTATGGAAAAGCAGATGCGTTGCCAGCCCTGAGGACTAAGATAGAATGCCTCGTTTCCAGTAAAAAGTTCTCCGGTTCTCTGCACTCATCATACGAAACACAGCAGTATTAAGCTATTATTTTACGCTGGTATTCTGTGTGAGCGTGACCCCGGTCGAGCCATTCGTGCTGCAACCACAATATAGCTGCAGCATGGCTCCACCACGTTATATGGCCCACTCGTGGCTTAGCTAAATATATTTAAATTATATCCTGAGTGCTGATGATATACTTAATATCGTATTTAAGTCCTTTTCATAAAAGCCAACCAAATAAAAAAGAATATTAATAAATTGAAGTATTCAGTTAAGTTATAAAAGCGATTGGCTTCAAATATTCCATCAATGTAAAAAAACTGTTAGTTTGGTAGCCGTTGGCTCATTTTGAAATAATATATCCGTTTACTAGCGTTTCTTTACTGGATTATATTGACATCAATTGTAATAATATCGATAATAATTCAAATTTAGTAATCGTGATTGATCATTTATTTACTAGAACGAGGCATTCCAACTTAGTCCTCACGGATGACAACGCATCTGCATTTTGTTTCTTAACCTAGGATAAATGTAGATAGATGCATATGGGTCAGAGCATCCACTTACCATCAGGTGGACTGTGTGCTAGTTTGACACCCTTATTAACTAAAATAAAAAAAATCGTGGAACCATTTCACGCAGGCCGGCTTATAGCATCAGCATCGTTGTGCAGCACCTAACTCGTAAATATCCTTCTGACAAAACGATGTTCCTGTAAAAAACTCGTGTAAGCTTCCCTATCTAATCTGCAATATGTGTTGAATCTCTTTATGCGTAATTATCCTATTCTCTTTAGTAAATTTTTTACTGCTGGCGCGTTTCCTTCCGTAACAGCCGTTAAACGGCAAATGCTTCTTTCTTTATCTCTCAAAGTTTAGTGAACCGTGTGGAAATTTGTTATACCAGCAGTACACGGTTGTCGAGGAAGAGCTGAACAGGGAAAAGCTTTAACCAAGGAAGTGATTTTTACATTAAAATAATAAGTTATAATCACTGTTTTTATACGGTTCATAATTGCAATTGATTAGCATGCATTAAACATAATGCAGTTCGGTGGAAGTTTCATTTTACCGGTTTACGAGTACCTGTTAAAATAATTGAAAAATTACGATAGGTGGTTAAATACTATTTTCCAATATGTTATCTGTTTCATTAATATTATCACCACTACAGCCGTTCACAAATTCATTGCTAAACATTGACCTTAAAAGGCCAAGCAATGCGACACATAAGCGGTTCTAAGCCACGCGCATCCATCGACTTCTTGCATGTCTTATCAGGTCTTACTGATCCATCTAGCAGAGGGGAGGGGGCACACGCCGTTTACCTTTATGTGACTATCATTTAATGTTATATTATAACATCTATATTTATTATATATTAAGCACTTAAGGGGAAATATAACCTCAAATGGCTTAGCAAGATCCTCCGTTATGCCGAAAGTATTGCAGCATTAATTTTGAAATAAATATATGGTAAAGTTGAGGATTAATGTTAAGGTTTATGTTAGACGAAAACACGATTCCGTAAAATTTTCTTGATAGAAAAAAAATCCAAAGTTACCTCCAAACTGAACAGGTTCCTGTCGCCAGGAACCAAGCTTACGCGCCGATAGTTTAGGTAATTTCTTTTTACAGTGAAAATAATGATATTTTAAAAAAAGTAAATAACATAAGCACTGCTTTATGGTTAGTTCAGTTAGTATGCAAAGTTTCATGATCTTATTTAAAGTATTTTATGAATAACAGCGGTTTATTGTTCAGTTTGGAGGTAACTTTGGATTTTTTTTTCTATCGAGAAAATTTTATGGAATCGTGTTTTCGTCTAACATAAACCTTAACATTAATCCTCAACTTTACCATATATTTATTTCAAAATTAATGCTGCAATACTTTCGGCATAACGGAGGATCTTGCTAAGCCATTTGAGGTTATATTTCCCCTTAAGTATTTTTTATTTCTTCCTTATTAAAACACAGGTATTAAAGTTTATTAAGAATTGTAGAAAATTTACTAAGAATATTTCGGATTTAATTACAATATTAGATAAATTTTGGATTTATAGAATTAGGTGCACCTGTCTCGAATAAATATTAAATTTTCTAAATCATTATGAAATTAATAAAAATCTTAATCATTACAGTCTATCAAAGTC